TTAGTTAAATTAATCAATAATGAATTGTTAGTTGCAGCTAGGAAGGTAACAATCGATTTGAATCGATGAGATAAAAAAGGAATCATGATGCTCTTTTTTGCTTGTTCGTCATCCTCCGCCACTCACGGCAGTGAGCTGTATCAAGTCGCAAAGCCATGGCGGATGCAGGTGAAGACTGTGTGTGGCAGCTTTTTGGCTTCAGAAAATGAAAAAGGTAAGAAAATAACAGACAAGACATGGCAAGAGTTTTCTGTAGCTGACAGGGTTATCCTTTCAGTTTATACCCTACCTGAGAATTAAAAGTTCAGGAGTGAGTTGAGTTCATCGTTACATCCTTACTTGCAGCCCTAATTGCTCCAATTTAAGGCGTCAAAGGGGTAAAAGGTTGGGAATCGGTTGACTTTATTATAGTACACATGACGTCACTGTTAGTCAGTATATCAATAAAGTGATTACGTACTGCTTTGTGTGTCGACAAGCTGCAATTGTAATGCACAGTGTCTCACAGTTCTCTCATGCTGCCATATTACTACTCAGTCACTCTGAAGAGCTCCACCCTCATTATGGGACACTAACATCTGCCATACACCCAGCCATCACACCTCAGCACAGCACCTTCCAGTCTGCACAGCACTGCAGTGAGAGTGTGAATTTATGTATGTGTGCTGTATCTGTTGGGAGGCCATCTCTAAATCTGCCTGCATTGATCCACGCTGAGAGAAGAGCCAAGGTGAATTCCTCTGCAGGGTTGATGGACGGAGATAAAGACGACAGCCAAATGGAAAGTGCAAATCGTTCCTGGGCAGTCGATAAAGCCGCTGAAATCTCTGAAACACTCTCTCTGTTTAAGTGTCTGTGCCTTTAGAGCTGATTACACACACTTACCTGCCTCGCAATAACTTTCACACACTTGTCATCAAGTCTAATACACACTCACAATGGTGTATAACAGCCCTGTGAGTAGCTCAAGTCTGGAGCTGGGGTCTAAGTGCAGGTTGGTCATGTTAAAAGCTCCACTTGTAGCATTTCAAAAATCATTACAACACGAATTTAGTGTTATTAGTTACTGTAAACAAACAAGACCTTTGAGAACAAGCCTCTACACTGTATATTATATTGGGTAGACACTTTCTCAGGCTTTTGCATCAACACCAAAGACACATGTTTTTCGGTATCGATAACATTTAAACAATCATGATTAATCAAAAATTTTGTAATTACAGCTGTTGTAGTTGTTTTAAATGTGAGACTTTAAAGCCTTCTTTGTGCACCTGTTATCACAGCTCATTTAGTTGTTGGACCACATTGTGAGCAGAAGGGGACTGGACAGGTCGGATTTGTCATTAGCAGCTGATGACACCCTGAAGACCCAAAGGGTAACCAGTGGAGGTGTTGGGTTTTGGACATCCAAAAGGCAGAATTGTTGCTACTTTTGTTTCTCTGACAATTTGGGGAACTTTGCTGTCCATCTTGCACCCCCAGGGCAGTTAAACAGAATGCACTCACTAGAGACAAACAGAAACACCCTCACGTCAAAATCAACAACATATCGGACCACGCTCAGAGGTTGCAGGAAGGAGGTAGGCCATGCCACTTAGATCACTTTTTCACCAAGGCAGTTTGAGGGCTGGTTCGGAGCTGGTGCCAAATCTGCTGGACTCGGGGTGCATGGTAGCTCACCTATGCATAGCCCAGGGGTGAGCAAGTTCAACCCGCGGCCCTTTGCTACTAATATCTCACGTCAATGTTACGCTTGTAACTTTAATATCTCACGTCAATGTTACGCTTGTAACTTTAAAGTTACGTTCAAGGTTAGGGACACTTATGTAAAAATAGCTGTATGCTTGCTTGGGTAATGTTGGTTGACCCAGCCAGCTTGTGTAACCTTGGTAACAACTTAATAACTTAGAAGTTTCTCAAGAACCCAGAACTAGCACAACTTTTTGTGAAACATCCTGTAGTGCTACAGTATGTTACACTGCACCAAACTAACAAAATGCCATCTATCCATGGGGAGGGTTTGGACTTGCATCCAGTAGTCGTCCCTGACGAAATCAAGAAAGGCAACTGAATGTGATGATACTGAAAGGATTCAATAACAGCATTTACAAAACAGTGTGGCACGTTTGTCATTGCTGCTTGAAAAAAAAACTAATTTATGCTAACTCTGTCACAGCACTGATAATTCAATTTTCACAAATCCTATTAAAAACACAGCGTATTCAGCCCAGAGGTGTCGGTGACACCTCTGGGCTGAATCCATTAAAATGATCACTGAGTAGTCTGCATATCAGTTCAGAGGTTAAGTTCTAACATTCAACTACACTGATCACTAGCCCCGGGCTTAAGATAAAGACACAACTGACCTTGTTCACTATGATCAGTTTACAGTCACCAAAATAAAACACCTGCATGCCATGAATCTGCCTCCATTTATCATTTAGCAGCAATAATTCTGTACAAATGCAATTTCTACCCCAAACATAGACTTCCCAATGGAATGCAAGCTGCAGTGTGGTTTAATTGCTCCTCCATGAGTGCACTAGTGGGGTTAGTTGATAAATTAAAGCTGTTATCAAAACCAGCTGGCAGGAGACGACAAGCATTTTCTACCTGAATAAAAGCTTTTAAAGGTGGGTCTTTCTTGGCTTTTAGAGCAGGTATATTCAGGTTTTTACACAAGCTTCTGCTATCACATAAATGCTCCTACTTCAGGGTGCTGGGACCTGGCGGCAGATGTAATGAATTGCTTTATTACACCAACAGAATTCCTTTTTATAGCACAAATCAGGAAGAGGCTCTGGTTTACAGCAGAAACAGAGCTAAAGGTAACATTTTTAGTGGTAACAGAAACTGGAGACTGATGAAAAGTAGAAAATATGACTTTTTCTTCCATGTTCTGTAACCGCAATCAAGGCGAAAACCCAAAATGAACACCCATACACATCCTATGCAAATGTAGGTGCACACAGACTTGGCAATATGGGCCGAGGATGAAGGTGTTCAGCAAAAATTATCATAAATTATCATCAATGTCCTCATTACAACACATTTTAGGAGAACTCTGCAAGAAGTACCAATTTACCTGCCCATCAACCCCTCGTTAAATGCATGCAAATCGCACCTCTGGAAATACAGAGGCCCCTTTTTTATTTGAAGAGCACTGAAGCGAGAAGTCAACAAGCTGTGGCTTTCTTCCTCCTGCGGGAGGGGGGGGGCAAAAAGCTTTGATAAACTTGCGGCTACGACAATAAAAACAGCGCTTGTTTTGCAAGAGAACACATAGATAGAGGCTATCGCATACAAGCTGACCCAATCAGCAGACAGGACGAGGGGTCAGGGGGTCACAGAGTCTTCCATTACCCCGGGCACCAAGCTTCATTATTTATTGCACACCAGAGAAATGCAGCTGCAGGACACACACACACACACACACATACACATACACGCACTTATACAGTCATGTCCCACAGCAACAGAGCTATTACAGTAGTGACTGCAGGGGACTGTCCCTCCCATTCAGACAAATGCCATACGGGCACAAAAAAAGTTGAACCTCATTCACTTTGAGTACAAAATAATGAACTTTATTATGAAAGCCAAACCTTCGAGTATCCAAAGTGTCGCTATGAGTGACAGACTGAAATGGGTTGTGCAGTTACTCATATTTTGGTAAAAAAAAAAACGCCTTGGAGCGTAGTTAAAACCTATCAAATCTTCACACCTCTGGTTTCTCCTGAAGAGCTCTTGTGTATCCTGGATGTTCTAGCTGGGTTTATTGACGTGTGAAGCAATATCAGATCAAATATTATTTATTTATTTATGGTTATTGCTGCCATATCCCTAGTAAACAACAAAATGAGCCAAAGGTTGTTTTGCTTTTGCAGGCAGTTGACACTGATTTGTCAGCTGATGTCATAACTACGTAAGACCCCCCCCCTCTAGCTCTGACAGTTAGCCAGGGAGCAGAGAGACTTTTCAGGGTGTGGTCAGACTGAGGGCGGGGAAACGTTCTGCCCAAATATAAACGTGCAACTTGACCATAAAAGTGTTTTAGCGGTTGTCGTTTATTTGCACTAAAAAGAAAGATGTACTGAATGTGCAGACGTTACTTGTAGCTGTTGCATGGCTAGCTAGCAACGGTACACACGGCCCATGTCTACGTGGATTGCACCTGTGTATGTGTGAGAGTTCAGGCTCTGAGGGGGCTGCACCCAACTTCTTCCAACTTCCTGCAGCAATTGGCCGGGTGTGTGAAGTAACGTATGCAGGGTTTTAACTTTTCTCTCAAGCTCACCAGCTACTTCCTTACTCTGTTATCCTCATTTGTAGAATTCATTGCATCTTGTCCCGGTCTATAGCGGCAGATTTTTCACCCCGCCTTTGAGTATGGCCTTTCGGACAGGGTAGAAGCACTTTTGTGGTCGTACGACCATTCATACTCACTAGTGTGCTTCAAGAGCAAACCCTAGGCTTGCCTTATTCTACAGATCACATACTACAGAGTAGAAAAGCCTCGGATGCAGAATTTAGACCAACCATACACCAGCGCTCTCCTCTGTCATCTACATCGAACTGATGAAGATGTTGCAGGTCGATTAACGGCTCCTGACAGCAAGGCGAGGCAGCTTTCATTCTTGGTTTAACAGACTGACACTCACAAACAGTACAAAAGGGAACATTCATTGTATCAGGGGAGGACTAAATAACCAGCCAATAACCAGTTTTAATAAAAGGCTTGTATGCCCCTTATATTGGTCAAACCCTACTGCAAACATTCACAATGCTCATAAATCCTTCAGACTGCTGCCCTTTTCCTCACATTGAGCTTTTCCCCCAAATTCTTCAGAAGACTGATCACGTCTATGATATAACAGGTGGATGACACTAACTGTCTGGTATTTCTTGTGATGCTTGGAGTCAAATCTTTACTGCATCTGCCCAGCTTTACAGAGCATTACAATCAGTGAACAAATGTGACGTACTGTACATGTACACACCTCCAAACCTGGCCGCTGCCCTGCGTCTGGATGGCGACACCAGCTCCTTGACGATCTGTAGGACCTGCATGCTCACGGGGAGGCAGCGGTAGAGGCAGCCAGATGTGCCACAGGGCAGGGGCAGCCCATTCTTGCCCTCTCACCCTCCACAACCTCATCCCTCCCTGGCTCCCCCTCAGGACTCATCCCCTAATCCACATCATGACTCCCGGCTCCTGGGGTTCTTGATTTCAGCATCCCGAAGGAGAGGGCAAGGAACAAAGTTTGTGCTCCGGTACCTGGTGCTCGTTTCTGGGTTGTGTCGCGTGTGTGTGAGAGCTGGCTGCTTCTCCGGGAGTTAAAAAAAGAAAAGAAGCTTTTTCTGTAAATTGTCTCCTCCTTTATCTTCTTGATGTTCTTTCTCCAGATTTCAACACACACTTACGATCTCTCTGGCGCTCAAATGTCCTCAGAGACTCTTGCCGGCTGGTCTGCAAGCACAGATGTCGAGCAGCAGCAGACACAAACACACACTACCTGATAAGTGCTTCACCTGCTTCCAGTGCTGCCTCTGGTCCACATGAATCCGCCTACGAACCTCAACTCAACAACTGGCAGCTGCTGAAAGTAGCGGAGGATGTTCGCCGGCACCGTCGACTCTCTGCAAACTGAATGTGTTCATCTTTGCGTGTGATGTGTGTGTTGTGTCGCTCAGCTGGAGTGCTCTCACACACACTCTTCAGTCGGCAGTCAGCGGCAGGGAAGCAGAACAGAGCAATCTTCTTTTTTCTTTTTCCCTTTTCGTTTTTTTTTCTTCTTCAGTGGCTCCAGCCGGCAAGCCACCTGGTTGTTGGGAATCAGTACATGCACAGTTGACTGGTGACGATGCTTCTCAACTGTCCAACTCTCTCATCTCTTTTTCTGACTCCCTTTTCCTCTCTCATCCATCTCTTTCTTTCCCCATCACCCTCTCCTGCCTCAGTCCTGCGAGCACTGGCTGCTTTTTTCTTCCTCACTGTCCTCTCTTCACATCCTTTAAATTCTTATTAATGACCGCTTCCACTCACTCACCCACAGCATCTCCTTCCCTCCCTTTCTCTCTCTGCTTTCCTGCACTCCTCCCTCCTCCTCCTCCTCCTCTTCCTCTCCCCTTCTCATTGTGTGCCTTTCTGTCTCGGTCACCCACCCCCTTTTTCTCGTGTACGTTTAATGTTGAGCTGAGAGCATGAGCAGAATGTAAAGGGGTAAATTCACGAGAGGAGATGTGTGTATGTGTCCCTGTGATGATTTTTACCCAGCGGCATCAGTAACGCTGTCATCCCCAGGTTACGCCCTCTCACATTTTCTTACTGTCTTTGTCATAACCTTCACTCCCCTCAGCATGTCTGTGATTGTGATGATGTTTTTAATTGCTTTTCAAGACAGAAAAGATCATAATCACGCTTTTTTTTTTCTTTAAGCCAAAAGCTAGTCACACTACCAAAATCACCATCTATTAAGAAAGTTTAATTTATTAAGTTTAACTTATAAAAAGGTATTTTTTTGGTCAATTTGGGTCATTTCATATCCTATAATTGGTAACTCCTGTGGGGCTCCTCAGGGATCCATCCTAGGCCCTGCTATCTTCCTGATAGGCAACACCTATTGTGTATAAGTAAGTCCATTACGTGGTTCTGGCGCCCGCAAATTCGAGTATATAATTGTAGCCAGTGTGTGTGTCATGAAATGAAACATTACGCCGACTGCATGCAACTCCCTCTAGATCATTGACTCGCTGGTAAATGGTATCTGCTTCCTCTTCAACGTCCTTCAAAAACACAACAACCAGAAAGCCGACGAACCATTAAAGACGTACAGAACAATGTTGAGTAGCCAATGTGAAAGTTTCATCAGACACGTCAGATGAAGCTTTTCTTGACTTCAAGAGCAGCATTCGCACTACAGTGTCAAAGAGCAAAAGCAATTCTTACACAGAGCACCTCTTGTGCTGTATGTATTGTTGTGGACAGCGCTCATATAGTCATAGAGGAGATGTGGAGCAGTTTTCTGCATGTCCCTATTGTGTTCTATATCTGTGTCACTGGGTCTTACACAGGGGATGTTCAACCTTTAAATGTGTGTGGAATAAACGTTCTAAAAATACATTCATTGTAGTCATTTTTCTTATTTCCAATGCCAAATGTATTCAAGTTCAACCAGGTAGTAGTTAAAAGCTTGTTTCTGTTGCTTCTTGCAAAGCAAACATGTAATGTTGCTGTCAGAAACTGACAAATGAAGGGAAAGAGTCTTCTTTTCATTTATTAGGGGCTCAAATAAAAAAAAATCAAGACTTATAGGGTTTAATTATCATCAAAATGATTGATATGATTGAGATTTCTTTGCAGTGCCTCACATCCTTTCATTAGATTAGATTAAATTATATCCAACATGTCTACATGTGCACAGTATTGTTTGGTAGCGCTCCACCTCTCTCAATATATAAGATCATCTTTCCTTCTTTCATCTCTCCATTTCTTGTTTGCCTCGTTTACTCTCCGCCCCCGTCCATTATTCCATCTCTAATCAGTCCTCATACGAGTATCCCCTCCCTGTTTCTCTCTAACTGCATCATCTCGCTATAACCAGGCCATTTAAGCTTCCTATTGGTGGTGTATCCCCCATGTTGTAATTTCTTTATCTCCAACGGGGTTAGGCGATGTCAGTTTTCCAAATTAATTACGCCAATGTCGACCTTTTCACGTAAAATGACATCCAGCTGTTGTCACTCAGTTCTGACATGATGTTGCTTTATTAAACATGATCGGTATTTCACTGGGTTTTCTAATCAACACAGGCAATCACGACTACGAGATTAATGGAGACTTTTAATGTTCTGAGATCTGATTAGATGCTAAACTTTTGTACTGGTACTGTACTGTACTGGTAAAGTGAAAAGTTAAGTATTAAAATAGTCACGTAAATGTAAAGTAAAATTGAAGGACCAATTTTAATTTTAAATAAAAGAAAGAAAAAAACTTTTTTGGAGGCCAAGAACAAACAAACCAAACAATCAAACAAATAAAAACAACTGAACTGAAATCTCACAAACAAAAAATGAAAACAAAAAGTGAAATGAGCTTTTTGGTCAAAACCCCAAATCATTGTCTCTATTGCCCCTTCCACCTCCTCTCTGGTTTCAAATCCAAACTATTTCCCAGCAGCCCCTGCTGTAAGCATTGTTCTCCTATGTCTTTATTCGAGCGGGTAAATAAAATATACTGAAGATGAAGTGACCTTGAGCAGCGGCGGTGACACCTCACACACCTTCAAGGCACATGAACACACCATGCCATTAGAGCTCACTGCCATGTTGAGCAGGAAGATACGCACGCACGCGCACACACACACACACACACACACACAGAGATCATTCATACATGCATGTAGACGCACGGCACGCACGCGCAGCACACACACACACACACACACACACACACACGACGATCATGCATACATGCACGCACGCACGACGCCACACACACACACACACACACACACACACACACACACACACACACACACACACACACACACACACACACACACACACACACACACACACACACACACACACACACACACACACACTTACTCAAGGACAGTGCAGCATGCAGACAGGAGCAGCAGCAGCGTGGTGATACCAGCTTCATTCTTTACACTAATGGAGTCCCAATAACACTCTTCTTCAAATAAACCACATGCTTTTTGGCCTGTGCGCTACAGTTTGCACATGCATCCATACTTGTTAGCGCGTCGAGTCAAAAGGTCCAATTACAGCATTGCTGGACTGTCTCTGCGTCTGCTGTTGCTATGCCACAGACCCACTGTTGCTAGGCTGTGACCCCACTACACGAGGTGAAAGCGTGGCCTTTTACAGACATAATGGTGGTCACCTTTCAGTGACTACAGCCATTCAAAACACCCACTTCTGATAATTACCAGAGCAACACTCCAAAATTGACTGGTGGCACTTTAGATGCTTTACAACTACGTCATGTATTCTTTTCTATGTGAAGTCACACCCAAGCTGCAGCTGTATAGGTCCACATTTCTGCAGGGGAACGCATTGTTGCTGCTGGTCGACTCTGGCAGCTGGTACACTTTTGCTTGGGGCTACTCAAAGTTAAGGAATATCTATATAAAAACTCATTTTTAGAGGCCTAAAGCATTTAAAATATCCAGCATCTAAATAATATCCTGATTAATGAAAAGAATGATCAATAAAATTTGCATTGATTCATTCAAAAACAGAAAATAGTCCATCTATCCATCATCTATAATGGCTTGAATTTTAATGGGTTTATTAAATCTAATAAAAGGATCTTCCCTTATCCCTTAAAAATAATAAGTTCATCATTTAATTTTTAATTTAAATAAATATTAAATATGTATTTCTTTGTTAGTCCCATGTGCCCATCTATCACATTAAATCTCCCAACTCATTTTGTACTCTTAACATTTTATGATCACTTAAATTTAGAGGCTGCTCTTTTTAGTTGCCTTTTAAAAAAACGTGCAAGCAGCATGCCACCTAAAACTTTAATAGATACAACCCACAGAGCAGTAACAAGAGCTCTGATAATACTGCGGCTATTTGTACACATTCATACTGTAGCACGTACTGTGCACATCTTTCTGTGATGAAGCTTTCACAGTGGGCGAGGAGGAACTTATTGTTTGAGGAAAAACGTATTATCTCAGCATTACATTGATAACCTTCAAATAGAAAGCCAGATGTGGTTCCCTGCAGCTGGAGAGACTCTTCAGAGGATAAATGAACTAAAACAGCAAACTCTTGAATCTAGTGCAGCACTCCATGTTTCATGTTGTGCTTCGTACTGTGCGGCGGCATGTCAGATGTGTGCTACAGGCATCAAGTGACACAGGTCATATGAAACGCTGGAGCGCTGTGTGGCCGGTTTTTGAATGACCTCCTCCTTCGAGGCATGCACGGGAAAGAATTTTCCCAGGAATCACTGTGTAATCCCTGAAAACTTTTCTTTGGTTTCACATTCTTCCTTTCAAGAGGGATTATCAAAGGAATCAAAGAGGGGGAGGGGAAAAAGTGAGTAAGGTGAGAGGTGGAGGCACCTACAGAGATATGGATTGACCTGCTTTCACTGTAGCTGAGTTGTGAAGAAGCAGGAAGATATTGATGGAGCCCTCAGTCTCCTCCCAGCAGCACCCACAGGTCCTGCCAACCAGGGGCCCCTCTACAATCACCAGATCAATAGGCCCCCTCCACGAGTTCGCCTTAACACCCTCCTGACTGAGAAGCGACATATACTGTAAGTCCGGTGGAGCTGCTGATGCATCGTCTCTTTAATCTACAGGTCAGATAAGAGCTCGGCCCCGTGGCAGCCTGCTTCACTCAAACTGGCAACCCGAGACGCTGTCAATGACGCGATTGGGTCTTCGATCTTGTGCCGACGTTGGAGAGAGGAGGCACTCAGCACAGGTTGAAAAAACACAGCAACAACTGTGGAGAGCGGGGATGAACTGAAGCAGGTCGGTGCAGGTCGATACCGACGCAGATACTGTTATTTTTCTCCGACAGTTAATTAGAGGTGCGAGTAACCATTATTTTCATCCGCCCATTATTTTCTCAGTGCATTGTTTGGTCTATAAAATGTTTAAAAATTGACATTCACAGTTTCTCAAAGGGCACAGCGATGTCTTCAATGTGTGCGTTTCTTCTGAACATCAGTCCAAAAGGTAGAGATAGATAATACGCTGTCACATATGACAAAGACAAGCAGCAAATCCTCACATTTGAGAAACTGACACAAGAGAATATGTGGCCTTTTTGCTTGAAAATTAATAATCAATCAATCAAGTAATCTTTGCAGTTGGTAATATTCTGATCTGGATGGAAAAGCCTATTTAGCTGACATTAAAAGAACTGGAATAAACCGATGTCTTCTCTCCATCCAAGACACTGCATTTGAATGAGATTTATGTATTAATGTGAGACGGTCAATTTGATCCATATCGCCTCCTCCTACGAGGCTGCAAGGTTACAGACTGACAGTCTTTTTGAACTGAAACCGTTGAAGGTCGGTTTTTGTGCTTTTATTCTACATCTTTAAACGCGATCGTTCAAAAAGAGTTCAGTCTTTTGTCCAGAATGATATTTTCTGCAGAGTGAGAAAGCCTGTGAGACGGCAATGAAAGCTGTTCCCAATACAGAAAACACCTTTAGCAGAATGATAATAGTTAAAGAACTCGGAGTAAAGAATATGTGAGAGGTGGGGAAACAAAAGCCGGAGTTTTGGTAGATTACATGGAAGAAAATATTACTCAAGAAGAACAGAGAAGAAGGCTCTGACAGGAACATAAAAAGCTTCACAATAAAAGACTCCAATAGGAAACAGAAGCTTTTAAGCCCTTATTGTCAACATTGCTCAAAATTAGTGAGGAACTGTCTTCAGTTATCACAACATGAATGAATGAACATCTTTGCTGCGTGCCAGGAAACACAGTGTGAAGGCTTTTTCAACTCGATGCCACTTCTTTGTTTCCACTTCAACTCGCTCTGTCGAAAAATGACAATACCAACTACACTGTCATCTCTCTGGCCCCCGCGTCTGAACTTCGGTCTCTCCTTGTGCACTGCGAGTAAGTGGCAACACCAATTTTACCCAGCGCTCCTCTCCACAAGGCTCTCAATCTGCGTCCTCTTCCCGCCCTGCCTCTCTGAAGGGGTTTGTTTCGGGGTCGGCGGCGGCTGGCATAAGGACCCGCGTACACACACAAACACACAAATCACGCAGACATGACAGCGGTGTGAACACACACTCCTCTGTTGTCCTGATGGCAGCATTCTGTCGGAGGGGGTGATTGAATTAGGCTGGGTGCTGATTGCTCGGCACATTGATTAATGCTGCCTGCTGTGCTTCAGTGCGTCATGGCACTCGGACTCCTGCTGCTGAATGCCAATGAGACACCGTGCACGGGAACAACATGAACAGGAGCAACTCACCACATTTAAGTAGATGCGTGCTCGTAGTTTGAGCTCCGTGCAAACGT